CGGACGAGAACTGGTGTTTCCAATGTGTAACGGTTGCGGTCAAAGTTGCGTGCCCCAGGCTGGCTAGTTCGTGACTTAGTCGATTCTCCGTTGCGCACAATGAATTTGGGAATTACAATACAGGAGTGGGAGAAGGGGAACCAGACAATTTTGGAGTTCCACATCGAGTGAGAGCAAAGCTATCAGACTTTATAGTGGATTAAATTTTTTTTAAATGAAGGTGAAGAAACTTTACTTATGATGAACGATAAATCATAACTATTGCTTCGCCTGCCAGTCAGGAAGAACGAATCGCGTGCTCAAAAGAAGCAAAACAAAAACCGAGAATCCCGATAAACACAGCAATTGAACTTGTAACCTCAATGGAAAAGGTAACTAATAGTGTCAGGTGAAAGTAAAGCTGCATGCCATCAAAGAGCCTAAATAAGTTTGGGAAACCGGCGAGTTGGCACAGAATCATGTAGTCAGAAACTTGCAAACCGTGGCATTCTAAGACCATTCCGAATGGCAGGTTTGACAGATTAACGAGTACTTCCAACGGTGATTGAAGCATGAAATGATTTCGTATGAGGATTCACTCAGAAATAAGTGCATTTGATTTTTATGGGAACTGGAGGAAATCCGAAGTTGATTTTGAAGAATGTCGAACAAGTTGACTTCATTTTAAAGAAGGGAAAACGGAAATCCAATAAAGAACTACCGGTATCTCCGACTTTTTGGCCGATTTACGACCAGACTGATTTGATTGTCTGCGTTCGATCTCGATTGATGGATCCACTTTCTTTTTATACTGTGACCGATGGCGTCGACCTTTCAAATGCATCTCCTTTGCATCCTCACTGGTGAACTGACAATCGCACAATTTGCATTGAAAATGAACCCCTTTGCCACCTGGACCGAGAACCTAAAGAGGAGCATGCAGAAGAAATAAGTAAGAAATATGTAGGCAGAGAAATACGAACAGTTCGTCCGGTGCGGCCTGTATTCATATATATGGTATAATAAAATTACCAACATGGTAGGTGGGACAAAAAGAAAATAATACAAATACAGAACTGTCCCGTATCGAAATCACGTTAAATTACTGCCAGGAAAAGCATACGATTCACTCGACAAAATTGAAAATAGTAATACATACTGTAAACCCGAACACTGGTTAGATCTGCCTCTCCTTCTCCATCTTTTTGTCTCCGACGATGGAAGGACGGACAGTAGCAATAAGAGTTTTTACTTTATGTACCAAATAGACTAAATTCACCGCTTTACAGCACCAGCTTAGTTACTGCTGATTACCATGAGCCGAATGGTAATGGTTCCCATGGTTCACTAGTAGGCACGATATAACCTTTGCAAGTGGACCTGGAACACTAGGCCAGAAGTTTACCATTTTACCTCCGTATCCCCTCCTTTAGTGACCATCTGGTTCAAACTGTTAGGAATGTGAATAGATTAAAATCCAAATTACAACGTACAGTAAGTCAGTAATTCATTTATAACTCGTTCCCTATTGGTCAAGATTCGAGCTGGATACGGTACAGTGGAGTTTCACACATGTTTATTCGAGCGGGTAAATGCCGATAAGAGGAACGAGTGATCGAGTGGGAGCGACAAGAAGATAAGGTCGTTTAGAATCTTATTGGTCACACAACACTCCATATGAGCATTATTAAGTTCTGTGATTGGCAAATGCTTCACAAGCACTGATGATGTCACCTCGGCTGGCGATGAAACGTTTGCAAACAAATTGTCAAGGTCGGCGAACAGGCGAAATGGAATATATATATATATGTATATAAAAATATACATAAATATATAATGCACTCTGATACTTGCAAAACCGAAGATGAATCTCCATGTGCCGGTATGCTGGTGCATGGTTGCTGATGACTCCCTAGGAATTCAGTCCCCATTCGACGGGTCAAAGCCCATAGATCGGATTAGGTAGTACATCTTGCTCGCCCACTAAGTATGTATCTGCCTGTATGCCNTTTAGACGTGAGTTACATTCAAGCTGCTTTAGCTCGCCTATCGAGCAGTTTGGGCGGGTGTGGCTGCTGATATATGTCCCAAACTTATGGGAGCCGCGGTGAGAGTAGGATAAATGATGGAGACTAAAGTGTCTCAATGGACTTAGTTGTCTACTAACTTAGAGGTGCAACTACAACAACATACCTTTTAATGTACAAATAGAAATGGAGTAGAAACGGTTATTGTTTGGCGTCAAATTAATTTGACACATAAAATGGATTAATGTGTAAGACAAGCGAATGTAAGATATAACCAACAAAACGAACGCCTTAATTCGTAAAGGCGGATACATCTAACGGGCTAGTTAACGAAAATCGAAACCGGGAAAGGATTGACAAAACGCACTTGTTCCACGTACTCCGCCCCCACCGGTGGCCTGTTTTGTGCCTTTAGAAGATTCAGGTCCACATTTCTCAACTCCGCAGTCGGATTATCAGTAGGCA